CACACTTAGAAATTAGTACCGACTTCGATAATTCTTTACCGAACTTTCAACAGCTTTGAGTAAAACTTTGACCCTCATTTCAAAAGCTGTTGCACTTAATTTTAATGTCAAAACACTGTCAGCTTTGGTTAAATAACCGAGTCTTGCCATTGTGGGGTAGTTTCCCTTGTTTTGTATCATTAAAACCAATGAGTTAAAATACATGATTTCTATCGAACAGTTCAGCTGTTGAAAGTCCGGTAAAAATATCAAAGTTGCTAGTAATGTCTAAATGTGCATGACATATAAATTTCAGGATGAGCGTGATGCTTCTAAAATATTGACTTGTAGTTGATCAAATATTCAAAGTTTGGATTTTTGGTTTTGGTTTGATGAATTTGTAAGAAGTTTGAGCCATACTAGTCAAATTCAGGGCTGTGGTTTTCTTGGCAAGTTTAATTTTCTGCCAAGTTTAAGTTTGTAAAAAAACATAATCTCATGGTCACATCTAAGTAACATCTTAAACATTATTTTTAAACTGAGAATTCGAATACTTCCCAAGGAGACAAGGATTTTTAAAACCTCAGAATAATAATCCCAGATTTTGTATGTTTATTAGATCTTTTCAAAATTTCTAGATACTGGATGGTTGGTTGTTTTTATTATAGAGGCTTTAATGATCCTGTGGCCATACACCTCTCGCTTCTAAATACCTTGAAATCTTGAAATTTTCCACTAATTCACATGAACTTCGGCCAAATGGCGCCAAACGATCAAACATCTGTAAAGATGGGTAATTCGTGAATCTAAATCAGAAATCGAGGTAAAAGAATGTTTTGCATATAAGTAGGATGGTCCAGATCTACTACAGGATCTCCTGACTTTCTGAGTCCATATTCAGGTGAAAACTCCGAATCAATCCTTTTCAGAACTGCGAGTTTTTTTTTTCAGAAAAAAAATAGGTTCAGCAGAATTCCGTAAAATGATGTATGAAGCTTTTGTAGGTTTTGGTAATAGCTACAACTTTTGTCAATAACTCAAATCTGTATCTCTTATGTACGACGAACTAGAGTGGGCAGAACTTGTGTGATGTAATTTACATTCACTGAAAAACTGTGGTGGGTTCTGTTCGCTCTGGTTCTTCATGCATAAGAGATACAGATTTGAATTATTCACAAAAGTTGTAGCTATTTTCATAATCTACAAAAGCTCCATACATCATTTTACGGAATTCTGATGATCAAAAAAAACCTAGAGGTAAATGAATGTGAATGAATAAGAGATTTTCCATGCCTGGATATGAGTCTGTTCTAGGTTCATTTTGACATTAATTTGCCACTTTTAAGGTTATTCTAGATCATCTGGAGAACCGTCAGTCAGAAAAGTCAGTTTCATAAATTAAACAACACTGCTTGTGCTGGAAATCATGATACTTCTGGAGTCTGACTGAAATTTAGTTCGTAGGTAACTGGTTTCATATAATTTACAATTTTCGTACACTAAAACTTCTCCTAAAGTTACAACATTTTCCAAAATTCACACTGAAATAAAATTGATAGTTCTATTTTTCTTTATAAATTCATTTATTTGTCAAGGCTCAATTGCGTTAGCTTTGCGGAGCCGTAATTCAATATATATTACAATATTTCTTGTGACTAAAGTTAGTAGAACGGGGGCCGATCACTCACGGCTTATCTGATCTGAGCTGTGTAGAAGATGCAGTGAGAAGAGTCACATTGTAAGAAGAAGCCGTGGGGCATGCACAACAGCTGCAGTGGAAATTTACAATAGAAAAAAGTGCGACGATGCAATCATTGCAGAGCCATATCGAGTTCTTCCTGAAAACGGTGGCGTACGAAGATTTCTAGATCACCAAAATCATCGGAATCTTCGTATTTAGCTGCTACGCACCTCAATGGAGCAGTTCCACCAAATGCTTGATGTACTCACCAAAGAGCTCATCGGACGAAGACGGATTTCAATGCTTTGGTAGTGTATTGGGGGATCAGATGTACCAACGCAATTGGGTACAGTCTACGGGAAGCTCTTGCAATGTTGGAAGCTAGTGTAACTTGCGAAGAAACCATCAGCACCTTTCGAGAAGGTGATCGGAAATCAACTATCGACGGCACGTTCTGCATTATGTCCTTTGTGGCAAATATGAACTGGACAGTGTATAATGGGTACAGTGATAAGTGAAAGAATCTTTTTGTGGAAGCTCGCCGTGTAGAATGGCGATCCAGGCGTTCCCAAAACACGTTAAGGGTGGTTATGCATAAATGCCTAGATTAAGATCATTGCTCAGACAGATGGAAGGTACAGGAATTAGTAGTGATGCTGAAACCAGGAAACCTCCGGTGATCCAGCATCCCATTCGCCAATATTCTTATTGAATAATCTTTAAACACTACTGGAAAGGAATATCCTCAACAGGCTGACGAAGAGTGAGCAAGAACTGTCGAAGAGCGAGAAAGGATTGTCGAGGATGCAGTTCAAATTCTGGAAAGGAAAATCTACGGTGGATGCAATACAATGATCGAGAGAGCCGAGAAGTCATCCAAACAGAAACGGAGGGGATATCGATTTTTCGCCGTGATAACGATAGACATCAAGAAAGCATTCAACAGCGCTAGCTGGGATGCTATCGCCAATGCATTGCACCACATGAGGGTCCCTAGTTATCTTTGCAGGATTCTTTACAGTTACTTCCAGAACCGGGTGCTGGTCTACGAGACAGACATGGGACAGAGGTCGATTAGGATCACGACGGAAGTTCCACAAGGCTCCATCCTTGGTCTAACGCTCTGAAACGGGATCTACAACGGCGTGCTGATGCTCAAGCTGCCCAATGGTCTCGAAATCGTTAGCCTCGCGGACAACGTCGTTCAAATGACGCTATGCGAAACGTGAGAAGAAGTTGGACTGCTACACAATACTAAAAAGTTATGTAAATTTCGGTTCCCTGAGACCAACACATATAAGCGGGCCTTTTGACATAAGAATCAGTTGAAAGAAACGTGAAAATCAATTCAATCAAACGTTCTCTTTGTCGACTAGCTGATGTTACGGTTTGAAAAGACTTAATTTTACATGAAATGTTTGTTTGCGTTCTATGATTTGCGTCCAATATGGATTACGTCTCGTGTAAAAGTAGTTATTTCTAAGTGTGTAGCAACCAAGACGATCGAAACGATTGAGAACTGGATAGCCCACCACAAAATGGAGGTGCTGCAAAGCGGCGTATCAGGCAGAAAGCATCGTCAGGGAGCATGTCATAGCCTCAAAGCACGTGCTGAAATACCTAGCAGTGATGATCGTCAACCAGCTAAACTTCAACAGCCACGCTGATTATACCTGCACGAAGGCTAAGACAACCATGGTAGTTGTTAGAATCATGCTGAAAAATTCAGGATGTTTGCCCTTACCGTGAATAATATCGTCGATTTTATGTGTCAAAATGCGGATACGCGGAATGCCGTCAGCAAGGTCAGTAGCGAAAATACTGTCGTAGCTGCAACGTAAGTGGAGAGACGATCTACGAATCACTGGGTTGTCCCAGGGACTAAAGGCTAAAGGCGAGTAAGGGTTTATTTTAATTTGCATAGCAAAATCGCTCAAATAGAAGGTAAACAATGACTGGTAGAATTTTCGCACATTATGTTTACCATCTCAAACCTTCAAAAGCAGTTTTGGAACATTTTATTATTGTGCAATATATCAAGTTGATATTTGGAATTCAATTTTTTGCATTTTACTGCCGTTTTCCCTAGTTCCCATCTCTTCATACAGTAACCCAAACCCTACAGTCATAAAACGCAACCAGCCAGGAGAGATGATCAAGTTTCCACCCCCACTGATGCTATTCCCTGGAAGCCAGGCTTGACTAAAGCGAAACCAGTTTGGTATGGTGAGCCCTTTCAAATTTCGACACATTAAATCGTGACACAATCTCAAAGATGGCAAGAGTAACGTAGCAGGCAGCAGCGAGTTCCCTTTCAGAAGATGTTCAGATGTTGTTTATTTTAAATACTGGTAGCTGTGTGACTTTCGAAGATGATTATCAAACATGAATATTTTTCGTCTTCTGTTTCTCGTTTCTGGCTTCTCGGATGGATGATGGCACTCGTGGCTTGCCATTTACTATGTATATCTCTATTGCAGGGTTGTCGACAAGCAATGGCCCGTCGGAGGCACTTCTGTGCTTCCGTCCACCAGAATTTGATTGATTGTAAAAGATGGGCCGTTGAGTTGGAGATACGCACGGATCTATGTAAATATTTACATCGCAATCATGGTTTTATTAGCAAAATCATATTTCCAAGAAAGCGATTATTTAGCTATTGGGTTTGTCAGTTGCTTTCTCATCGCATTGTATAGATGCAGAATGAATAGATGAATAAGTGTTTTATCCGATGATATTTGACCTAAATATCAAGACTGAGATACGTAAATTTTTCTAGACTCGACGGAACATCTCAATCAGAAGTAAAGATTTGTGATACCCAAAATATTTTCATTTTGGAAAATTTATCGATTTACTTGAGCGTAGGGTATCATTGAGCTCACCACACAATATACGAATGCAAGTACAATACAGGCTAAGAAAGCTCTCAATTAATAGTTGCGGTACTCAAAGAAAGCTACGTTGAGTGCGGGTGTGGAATTTCCAAGGAAAGAGGATAGAACTCCTTTTTTGAATCAAAGTCCTTTTGTTGCGATATATCGACTCATATGCGAGTTTAATAACTTGCTCAGTTCTTGTATCCATATCTGCTCGCTATAAGTGAATTTATGGGCAATCGAAAAGATTTTGAGATGTCAGACGGATCAAATCTCGTTATAGATGGAGAAATCCAGATTTTAGTTTATTAATTAACGATGATTCATACCCCAGTACTGAAATAAAGAAACTGATCGAAAGCATATATGTTTAAAGTCAAAGTCATAGCAGGATATTTTTTAATAGCACAAACAATTAAAATTGAATTCAAAACCCAAATAATAGTCAAATATAAACTCACCTAACGCAGCATCCGCATTGACAACATCCATCAGCAGGGACCAGAACAGCGCACTGAACAGCACTAGGCTAAGCGATATTTTCGAACTGGTAGCCATCTTTGCTGTGCTTCACTTAAACCACACTGATTAACTTCTTCACCGTTTCACTCAACCTGGATAGCCCTCATTGAACAGCACTAACAGCAATCATCGATCGCCGAGAAAACAACCTGAAACAAGAGCAAGAGAAAGACAAATAAATTAGACGATAATAGTAACGAGTAGAATAGCCACCGTGTCCAAAGGGTTTACCCTAATTGGCTTAATTGAATTCTTCCCATGAAAACGTACGGCGTTAGGGATTACCTCTATGAGTGAATCGCAAAAAGAGACTCAGTCTCCAAGGCGCCTCTACGCGGAACTAATTAAAACGTGTGAAACCACCTTTTGGCCATGGCCATTGAAAAGCCCTCACAGCTGGAATACGCACGCAAATAATGTTCGACCGAGCGTTTATCATTGCAAAAATCCCCATCCGCTTAGGAACGTGTGACGCCGTGTGTAGAAGAGTGAGTAAAAGAGGGAGAGGCGAAAAAAGCCGTTTCAATTGAATCCCACAGAAGTACCCTCTTCATCCTCACCGAAGAGGCTTCGGGTTTCCCTAAGCCGTGGAATCTATCGGTGGACCAACGACGTTATAGAGAAAGAGAGACAGAGATCTTAAGAATGCACAAATCCAAGGTGCTGTGGTGTGGTGTGCCGTACTTTGAAGAAGCGCTAGGAATTGTAATAAGCTGAGACGATGACCACGACGACGTGATGGCGGTGGCAGCGGATGGAACGCACTCTAGCGCCATTAAGTGAAGAGCAAACAAATCAACGAACAAAATCCGAAAAATTGGTATCCGTAATTCGAAGTAAAAACAAACAAGTGTATAAACAATTGAGCAAATCAGACATTTCATCATGATAGATGATTATCATGGTCAAAACTGTGCGTTGAAGGATAGGTCAAATATAAAAGAATAAGATTTGCCGAAGATGCGGACGGCCCGTTTGAATATGGAGAATTGCCAGTTTCAAGCCACTTTCAACCAAACTATGAGTTCTGGCTGTGCAGTCAGCACGGGGAATCCCATATGGTTAATTTCAGCTCATCTGTCATCACAATTTTCACCCCTGAAGATGGCACCAATAAATGCTGAAACTTTAGGGTGAATAACAATATAAAATCAAAATACGGAATAGATCAAGCAAAACAGAGATTGTTGAAATGTAACGTGAGAATTCTCACAAAAACAAACATAGATACTCTGGAGATGGAAATAAATAATAGTGCCTATCCTATTAACCGACTCAAGCGCTGTCAGTTTCCTGACCCGCGGCCCTTTGGTAAACTATGGTCAATAAGTATGTAGATAGAGGAAAGTAAATAAAACCATGATTGTTCCACGCACCGACATTAAACTGCAAAGTCGTGAATAAATCTGCGTCGACAACACCGAAGGTACAGTGTGGTGGCGGTGAAGAAGAAAGCTACCTCAAAACGTATTCGTGCACGTGAGTTGAAAAAAAAACTACTGCAATCTGTTTAAGTTTAGGTATCTAAAGTCGTGATTTCTTACTTGTTTAAAAATTCGCAAGAATGTTGGCTTCTAAAACTAGCGTGGATGTGATAGTAAAGGTGTATTTGTATACAACCAGTGCCAGGTTCCAGTGACACCGCATATGGAAAAGTTGAGCCACAAGATGTCGCAAGCCACCTGTTCATGCCCATTAGGGCGGTCCAAATATTGAGAAATAATATTTTTCTTTAAATTTCCAGATTGATACTTTCTCCGAGAAATACACTCTCTATTAACATAAGCTGATTTCGTTGCAACTATTTGCTTATACAGTAAAAGTTACATTTTCAGTAGTACATACTCACATTTCTCGAACATGTACACACTTAGAAATAACTAATTTTACACGAGACGGAATCTATCTTTGACATACGGGTTGAGACGTAAACAAACATGTCATGTAAAATTAAGTACGCCGAGACTGAAAAGATCGTTACTTGACGAAAAGTACGTTTGATTGAGCTGAAGTTTGGCATCTGTTATGACTCAATTTTCTGTCAAAATTGACGCTCGTATATGTCAGTCTCAGAGCACCTAAATTTATATGATTTTTTCTTAGTGTGTAGTCCAAATCTTGTTGCTTAATGCTTACTGACAATAGCTTGTTGATACTATTTCATATGAATTTGTTTGATGAAAACTTTATTAAAGCATATTCACACACAGAAGTCAGATTCTTATACAACTTCAGAACCAATATAACAATCATATGACATGAGTCAGGAAAATATTGTCAAATCATTCTTAGGAATTACAACCTACAAGTTAAAAAATATTGGTCTAAATTGGACATACAGTCAGGTATCCTTATTCCCGGATGTGTTTTTGCTCGTATTCCTTTATCAGGATTCCTAGATGCTCGAGCTTCAGCAGGTAGAATGCTGACCGGATATGCTATCCTTATCAGTGAATTAACGGCGTCCAAGCATAAGGAAAAATAGTATGCACAGAAAAAAAAATCTGAATTTCAACTATCGCGTAAAATCTTCCTTCGTTTAATGTTGAGCTATACTTGGCATAAGTAGCGAAATCGTTTACAAGCTTGCATACAATATTGCTAATTTATGCGATATTGCGCTTAAATTTACACGAAATATCGTGTAAATTTATGCCAAATCTAGCGTTAATTTTATGTGCGCTATATCTCGCAGAAATTTACATGAATTTTTCAAACGGTGTGGATGAAAAAACCATCCGGGAATAAGGATTCCTCACTTATACTAAAATCATTAAAATTAAATTTGTGGTGCTTTTTCAGATCTTCCATACATTTTACAGAGCTGAGATTATCAGAGATAGCGTTTATCATCAAACAATACGAATAATTCTTTTTTTGCACCACCCTATTGATCACTGGTGCATGAAGCCAGATGCGAAATTCCTTTGATACTTATAGCGAATTTGTTTATTATCATAGTTGGAACCAGTTCCAACCTAGTGCGAAACCGAACTTTTTGTCAGTGCGAACCTCAACCTGAGGTAGGTTTTGAAAACAAACGATCAAACTGACGTTTGTCAGAAAACAAGTAGATCCAATCTTGATACCCGATCCAGGTTGGAACTGAATAATAAACAAATTCGCTATGAGATGTTTTCGACAGGCGCCAATGCCCCTACTTACTTTTCTAATGATTAGATCTTTGTCTTTTATTGCCGATGGAATTTCACAGGAGCTTGTAATTTCGATTACCGACTACAGCGCAACAGCAAACGGCGCCGGTGGTGTAGTGGTAAGCGTGATTACCTCTCACCCCAGCAGGCCTGGGTTCAATCCCAGTCGGCGCCGCCGGGATGTTCTGAGGCATAACATCTCTGATCACGCCTTCCTTCGGATGGGAAGTAAAGCCGTTGGTCCCCGGTTCATGAGCTGATGGGTCGATAGGTAGGGTCCAGGTGTGGGAGCTGCCTTCCTGGCACGTCGGTAGCATTGGTGCTCAGCACGGAAAACAAGATGATGATGATGAGCAATGAGCAATGAGCGCAATAGAATCATCAAGTTGCCATAAGGCACGGAATGAGACTATTGCATGGCTGGGTAGTCAAAGTCTTCCATTCGTTAGTCATTTCAGGTGGATTAGAACAGGTTTAGGTGGGCGTTGGCCAGATTTGGATTTTTCAGATAAAATCCTGGATAGAACCCTGTCATTGAACGTCGCGTGAAAGTGGAACTTAATGAAGGCCTAAGTACTTTTTCGTAGTTTTTAGTTTTCGGATTTGAAAGATCGTCGGTTACAGTGGCCTGCTTACTGAGCAGAAAAACGCGGTCCCAGGTCCCTACATATCAAAGAGATTTATGGTAAAATCGATTGTGTATCGTGTATTTTGCGAAACTCGTTGTTGTCGTTGGTTCCGGGTTTGAATGGATACAAAAATTTGAGCAACGGTATTATGTGATATGAGGGGCTCGGTGGCCTTAGAGCAACCGTTTTTGCTTACTGAGCAGAACATCATGAGTCTAATCTCCGGCCCATCCACATTCAAGATTCGTCAATCGTTTTATTTGTTAATATGACTACATGGTAATAACAGCAGCTCGGTGCTCGTCTGCCTAGTGGCAAACGTTTTTGCTTACTGAGCAGAAGACCGTGGGTTTAGTCCCAAGCTCCTTCGCGTTATATGATCGTTAGAACATCAATTCAGCTTATCGTTTACCAAAACGAACCCTGCTGCAAACCCAACCCTCTTATCCAACATCCCAGTGATTCCTCGTGGTAGTGCAGAGGTGTTCTCGGCTTCCATCAAAGCGAGTGTCATGTCAACACAATCCTTCCCATTCCTTTCTTGACCTGTGTTCGGGCGCGGCCGGCGCTGGTATTGCCTAATTTAAGATCACCAGTTTTTACACATTGAGGATGATTGCTAGTCCCAAGCATCGTCTATTGGTTCTCTGTGTAATTACAGCTGATCTGGCAGTAACAGAGTAGCAACCGTGGGCGGTCAATCAAGCTCAAGCTCAAGCTCAAGCTCCTAGAAGACAAACACATGTTGACTTCGATACTCAGAGGTTGCCTTGTTCAAGAGAATGCTGTTATGTCAAAATTCCAAGGAGGAATCAACTCTGCACACCTCAATCTGTGCTGATAATTTTCGCTGTGCCGAAGCGTGTCAATCAAGTACCCCATGAGTTTGGCAACCCTGAAGATTTAATGACTTTTGCGATTGTTTATTTGTAATTGTGCAAGAAAACGAAGCGTGATAAAAATAAATGTATGCATGCAGCCTAAAATCACTACTGCAGCACGGAAATTTCACCAGAGTAAGCAAACCAAATCTTTTATGTTCCAAGAAGACTGATTGTAGCCCTGGTGCATGCCGGTTCCTTAGCTATACTTCGTCGGATGGATTCCGGAAAGCTAGATGTGGTTCTTCATCCGTGGCGTTGATTATAGAACAGTAAAACAACGATAGCAACTGCGAGGTGGAGGTGGAGCTGTTCAATCGGCTGCAAGCGGTCGACGGCTACATGTAGATTAGCGGGGATTATCGCTATCGAAGTGGTTCCTGTTGTATGCCAAGGGGAAGGTTCGAATGGGTTAAGGATCGGGTTTAGGTTGTTGAAACGTATTCAGGTTTACCTTGATGTAACGTAACTGTCACTTTTGACT